AATTTTCTGGAAATATTCCCAGTTCTTGGTTGCAGTTGACTCAAAGTAATTTTTCTACTTTTATTCTGAATTTTCTGAAAATTTGGAAAATGACAAAAATCAGCATGTGTGATTTTCATAATTATGAAAATTTTAAAGATAGCTTCTTTAATTTAGGACAACTATGGTTTTCAGCGAGAATAATTGAATCCAGAAAAGGTCTAAAGTTCTTGGGTGCGGTGTCTAATTAGCCCAGCTTTAAAGAACTTCCACCTTTGGAGAAGTCCACTGTGATTAGAGGTGGGGTGACATGGTACTAACATAACAGCATTCACTGGATGCATGGGGGAATAATGGATAACTCCTGAAGCAAGGGTGCTGGTGGACAATTCCTTAAGCATCCACTATAGATCCTCTGACAATCCCTGGATACCCAATTCAGAGGTTACTCCTGTTGACCTTAGAATCCCCACCCTCCATGTTCTTATGGAGTCATACTCAGCATTCACTACACAGTGGCTAAGCACAGAAATTGGTTTCTTCTGAATGTCCATGGGGCACCATGTTTATCAGGGAAAGCTGGATACAGGGGTTATACACAGCCAGTCGTCCACATACCTACTCCTGATTGACCCAACACTGGCATACCCACATTCCTTCAGCAGTCTATAGAATACCACACAGGCACATTTGGATACATCCCCCTCTATCCAAATGTGGACTTCTTTTGTCTGAGAAGAATGACCTCTCCCCCACCCCAAACTTACACACACATACAAACACACACACACACAACCACTACTACACATGCGAAGGCTCTGCCTTCCTTAGTCTCTCTCAGTCAGCAACCAATTATAATAATTTGGTAATTCTTTTTTTTTTTTTTGAGACAGAGTCTTGCTTTCTCACCAGGCTGGAGTGCAGTGGGGCAATCTCAGCTCACTGCAACTTCCACCTCCTAGGTTCAAGCAATTCATTCGCCTCAGCCTCCCAAGTAGCTGGGACCACAGGCACATGCCACCACGCCCAGCTAATTTTTGTATTTTTAGTAGAGACGAGGTTTCACCATGTTGGCCAGGATGGTCTCGATCTCTTGACCTCGTGATCCACCTGCCTTGGCCTCCCAAAGTGCTGGGATTACAGGCGTGAGCCACCATGCCTGGCCTAATTTGGTAATTCTTTATGTCCAGAATGCCCCTGTCTGTATGTAGCTGACTGTGCATTATCGGTCAAATTCTATAAACCATGTGCTCTATTTTTACAAATATAAAACTGTCACACAGTTTTCTTTGGCAATCTGAAATGATTGTGCCAGGTCGACTAGTAAGGAAAATTTTCACTTTCATTTCAATCCTTTTATTTTTGAATGACTTTGAGGGAATCATTTAAATATTCCAGTTTCTTAGCTAAATATTGCATAGTCACTCTGCAATACACTTTTGTTTTCGTTTGCATATAGAACATGCAGATTTTGTAATCCTATTTTAAGAGCTAGAGGTTAAAACAATAGCCTACACATATCTATTTGTGCCACTAGGTGGTGCATACATATGTCAGTGATCTGTAGGTTAAATGGCTTGTCATCAGGTAAGTGTTCACCACAGAGATGGTACAGACACTACAGAAGCCCTCCCAGGGGAAATGGATTGACCGTATTCCTGGCTACAGAAATGGCAGGAGCAAAATCTTAAAGGCAAGAAACCCCAAAGATGTGGCAGAGGAAAAGTCTTGGAAAAGAAAGAGTATGTTTACTCTCCATGCTGATGGATTCCTAATCAACAGGGTCATTGTAGAGGAGTAACAGCATCATTGAAACATTTAGCTAGTTGGCATCAAACATTGCTTCCAGACCTTTGTTCTGGGAACTCGAACAAAGAGGTGAAATGACTTAACTCTGTCCTCAAGTAGGATCCTAGTGAGAAAGACAGACAATGAAGACAGTACATGATACTTTCTCCTAGTGAGAAAGACAGTATATGAAAAAGACAGACAATGAAGACAGTACATGATACTGTCATGTATCATGTATACTGCCATGTATCATGTACTGTCTTCATTGTCTTTCTTACTACTTGAGGATCCTAGAGAGATAGGCTTTGCAAGATGCATTGGGGGACAGTATGAAATTCTGCTCTTAGGAAGGGAGATAACGTGGTTAGGTTTGGGAGATGGTGTTCAGAGAAGACTTCATGGAAGTCTTGCGAACAGAAGAGAGGTTTCTGGGAAGACTTCAAGAGGGTAGACAGAGATGATAGCATAAGCAAAGGCATGGAGGTTTGAGAGGATAATGTATGTGGATTTGGGACTAGTTCAGTTGAGTTCAGCAAATACTTATGAGAGCAACTCTGTGACATGTGCTTATTTTACTAAGATTAATAACAGTTGTTCTAGACCCTTAAGATGCTCCTCATCTAGTGAGGAAGATTGATACATGCACAGAAAACTGCAATGTGAGAGGATAGTTTAAATGTGATCCCTCTTAAATTCTGACTTTGTCCTTTGAGCCCCCAGTGTGCTGGCTACAGGTTCTCAGGTAGTTTCTACATCAGAAGAGGGAGCCTATAAACACACTACCTGGTTGCATTTGGCTCACAGTCACTGGTGGATTTCAGTCTCACTTGCTCAGTTTAGGGTTGTGAAGTTTGAGGCCAGAGACAGAAGAGCCAGGACACAAGCCCAGCCCTGTCTGACTCTGTCAAGTTATCTTCCCTTTTTTCTTTAAAGAATCCTGGGCATAGAGTCACCATTTAGCAATAGTTCTTAATTAGAAAAAAATGCATTTCAGATAAATAGGCCATCTTTACCAACTGCGATCATCACAAAGTCAAGTGTATAATAAAAGGACACAATGGATTCTTCCCTCATCTATGAAGAAAGTGCCAAGCCACATAGGTTGGCCTTGGGAAAGACAGCTTGAGCCAGATATCCCACTGGCCTGGTTCCATATTAGGGAAGGAAGAAGGTCTGTCTCCAGCGTTCCTTCTAGCCCACATGCGTGGGTGGGTGTTTCATATCAGTGATAGAATATGTTCTTCCTGTGTAGATTAGTGACATCTTAGAGTTGCATTGTTTGGCTGAAAATGTCAACTGGAATGAGTTACAAGCTGGCAGGAAAACAGGTATGTGTGATTGAGAAGGAACTGAAGGGCTCTGGAGCTCCTTTTAGGTATATAAGTCACTGAAGCAAGGGGTAGAGAAATCTTACAGAGATTTTGACTGAAACAGATCAAAGTTAATGGATAAGGAGGGTGACCCTGAGGAAAAGGAGATCTGAGGCCAGGTCTTATGAGTAAGGAAGAAAAGACCTGGGAAATTTAGACTGGAAAGAAGACAACTCATACCTTCTTCAGCTCTCCAAACTATCATCAAGGACTGAGGTAGCTAGAAATTGTGATTATGTCATCAGGAAGCAGCTTTTAACCTTACTCAAGTAGAGCTGTCTAACCAAAAACAGTAGTGGATTCTCTACCAGAAAGGAGATGAAACAGAAGCCATTCATACAACTAGTGGGGACATTGAGGAGGGGGTTCCTGCCCTAGTGGCAGATCAAATCTCTGAGATTTAAATAAAATTCATGAGAAAGCAAGAGGCAACTTATATAAACCAAGGATCGGATGTTCTGTAATAACAACAGCATCAATATTAAACAGATTTTTTTTACTGAGAACGTTTTAAGTACCAGGCATCATGCTAGGTGGTTTATATGCATTGCCATATTTTGGACTTTAGAGCCAGAATCAGAACTGACTAAATTTTAAACCTGACCCTGCCATTTAATGAAGATGTCTTGGACAGACTGTTTCTTCTCTCAAAATATCATGTCTTTCTCCTGCACAATTGCCAAGAGTATGAAAAAAAAATTGATTCATCAAAGTACTTAGTACTCTGCCGGACCTACAGTTAGTTTAAAAATGTTTCTGCCTTCCTCTTTCTGCTTAGGCAGAATCTCAGGAAGCCATTCTTGGAGAGAGGCAAGATAAAGAGGGAAATGCAGGGGAGGTAGAATATGGCGAGGCCTCCACTGCACACAATACCAGATGATTGAAAGCTCCTGCAATTTGTAACCTAGAGCAATGACTCTCAAAGTGGAGTTTGTTTGGATACCTTTTAAGAAAACAAACAGAGATCTAGAAAAAATCAAGTGTAGGAAAGAGAAAAAGTCAGCAGGAGGACTGAGCTTAAGGATTCCTGACTCAAGTCGCTAAGAAGGCTGCTTACCACTTTGCCAGCTGCAGCCTCCTGTACCCACTTCTCTACCCTCAGGTTTCATGGCCTTCAGTCTAGGACAGTAGCTGTGCTGTGATAGGGAAGAGGCCTTTTGAGATACTGATCACCTCATCCCTTGGGATTGCCAAAGCCAGTTGCTTCCAAATATAAGCTGCCTTGTCCCTATCGCCTAGTGTGCTAGATAAATATTATTCTGTGTGAATATTGTGTGGTAAAAAAGGATAAAGATTTGGTTAGAAAAGGAATGGTTGATCATTGCTAACTGAAATTTTTATAGTATTGTGAGCAGGCTAAGAATGAAGCAAATCCACAAATATCTTGGTTAAAAAGAAGTATCTAGAGGGTGGCAGTACTACAGGCTCTCAAGGCAAAGAGCATTGCCAATATATCAGACACTCAGCCAGTGCAGCCAGTATGAGCAAAGGAAAATCTAAAGCTATCTGAAGAATGAGCCCATGACTGGGAAACTGGAAAGGGACCTTCTCTGCGGCTCTAGGTGAGCCACATTCTGCTCAGGGCCTCACTTTCCATAAGTATGGTATAATTAGACTGAGAGACCTTTAAGGCCCTCCCTCTCAGCTCTAACCGCCTATGCTTCCAGATAAAAAGCCCATCCGTCCCCCTTTGTCTCTAGGGTACAAACCCTCTCTGCAGAATTGGAAGTGAATACCACATTCAGTATAATTCACCCTGCGGTATGTCCAAACATCCTCTTTGCGTGTCTGCCCTGACCTGCTAAGCACAATTTTGGCTCAAATCAGTGCTCTCACAGTGTGTTTTTTTTTTTTTTGCAGCAACAGCGACAGCTTGACCTCCTGACGATAACCAGCCCTGGTGAGTAGGTGTGGCCCTTCTGCCTTGGCTTTTCCCTTCTTTCCTGAATGATGCCTTGTTGCCTATCCAAATACAATTCCTGCTCTTCTCCTTTGACTCCTTGAATGAACAGCAGAACTCTTGTGCCATGAACCATTCTTCTCCTCCCCTACCCTCTGCTCCACAGGCAGTTTATTTTCTTCCTGCCAACTCTGTGCTGCCTCCTCTTGACTGTGGGTGGCACGGCTGGTACTCTGGATGTTGCTGCATATTCTAGGGTCGAGTTCTCTCCAAATCACTCATTGGACTCAGGTGTCAAGGAAGTGTCCTGGTCTCCTGAGAAATAAGTTATAGAGTCATGTGGGATGGAGAATCTGCTTGGAAAGTGCCATGGAATGAAGGGAGGATGGCTCATAAGGTTGGACTCGTCTGGGAAAGTGAGCAGGTGTGGTTGGTTGTGTAGAGGGTCAAGAAGACTTTTGTCTCTCATTATTAAGGGAAGGTCAGCTCCCCACAAAAAGCTGTGACCATGACCATGGGATTAAAAGGTCCTTTTTTTCCCTCTATAGCTGACATCTAGCCTAGGAGAGGCTGAGCAATTTAATTCTTTCAGGGAGGTATTTTACTCTGGATTGGAAACTTAAGGCAAAATTGGACAAAAAGAGATACTGTTCTCTCTTAGGATTATGAGGATGATGCTGCTGGCAGTGTTAGTGAGCATTTGAGAGTTGATGTGGGGCTTATCTTCATCCAGGGGTGATATTCAAAACACTTAACAGCCATCTGCTATACTAGGCATTAACACTTTGGTTACCAGACTGTAGGGAGATGGTGTCCTGGAGGAGGAGCTGGTGTGGCACAGGGGTCACGTGGCAGGTTTGTGGGTCTCAGGGGATGATTAATTACGAATAAACTTGGATATGTTACAATATATTAGTAACCAGCATGCCTGAACTATGTCAGCCCTGCCTTTCACCAAGCCTAGCATGCTGTATCCATGGGCCAGTGCCTCAATTTCAAAGAGATGGAGATATTGCCCTCTGCAGTCACTGTCCTAGCAATTATCTGGTCTACATAATGAGGGTATAGAAAAGTGACTGCAACTGTAAGATCTATTCACCTAGTTTAGGTAACCTTCCAGTAGTTCTGTATCTGTTAGAACTCTTTGAGCTCGAGACTTCAAAAGCATAAAGACAGAACTAGTTTGAAAAAAGTTTATTCCATAGAATGAGCTACATTTAACATATATGTGATTAATATATATAGAAATTCCAAACCATGGGCTGACATGACTAGAGTGGCTCACTTGTATGACCTACCAATTCGTCCTAAGGTGCTGGTGAGGGATTATCTTTGTCCAATTAGGTTTAGTTGCTTTTAATTGTATCCTGTTCTGTTCCGCAATGCACTGTCCATATTGCCTGCTTTCACATCTCAGTTTCATCAGGTCATACCCAGTATGACACCTAAGTATGAATTGGAAAGAGTTCTTGATCTGTTTTCAATTGCTTTAGAGGCAAATCTTCAGGCTCTGTTAATAGCATTTCTTTTGTACAAGCTCTTTCTGCTCCTAATTACCACTGCACAAATTCAGGCAAAGTAGTTGTGACTCTTTAGTACACTGCACTTAGACAGCTTTGGGATTGAAAAAATCAGCACTGCCAGAGTTTGGAGTGGTTTATTATTATGCCTCCTCTTAGACAAAAAGAATATATTCTGGGCCAGGGCATCCAAAAAGGTGTGTTGTGGCACACTGGTGTACTGCAAATGGGCTATACTTGTGTGATGTTGCAAAATATCGATCCACTTAGCTCTCAGGGACACAGGTAGGACCTAGGGCAGGAGGAGCCCCACCAGTGGTAGCCTCCACTCCAATGTGTCAGACAAATATTATCCATGTGTGCCATGACTTGGAAAGGTTAGGAAGCACCACTGGACCATGCTGGTATCTGGATGACTCTATTCCATGTCAAAAGAACTGTTATTCACTGTCTTGTGCTATCAAATTCACCCACATTCTACATCTCACCAGGAGCTGCAGCAGCTAGGAGTCAGCTTGCTACCTCTCTCGGGCTACCAATGGCCTGCCTGAACTCCTCCCCAGACCATCCTCAACATAGAACTGCAGTATGATACTGCCAGTTTTAGACTAGGAGCCTTCTGAAATGCTGATTGGGAATTTGATAGCCTTAATCTGCTTGATACCTTCTTTAAAGTCTTATTTTGTTTATTGTGAATAATTTCAAATATACAGAAAGGAGTAGAGATATAATGAACAGCTATTTATTGCCCCCATGCCAACCCCTTGGCTTTGTCATATCGACATGTGCCTTCCATGCCAGAGTCACCTATTTTTGGGAAAAAATTATAAATGTAATTGAGACTATTCTATACTCCTTCCTAATTACGTCGTTGTCCCTTCACCCTATAGGTAATCACTGTCATGAATTCAGTGGTTTTCCATATCTGTGTATAAAAAAATATAACTGGTATTGCTTTACAGATCCTTTGTCATTCTATGACTCTTTCCCTACTCATGATTATATTGTAGAGATTCATTTATATTGATACACATAGCTCTGCTTCATTTATTTTAATTGCCGTATGATATTCCATAGGTGATTGAATTACAATTTATCCATTTTATTGATCAGAAATTAGGTTATTTATAGCTGCTTGAAATTGCAGCAAACAGTGTTGCTTAGAGCATTTTTGTGCATGTATCTTTATGTATGCGTATGAGAATTTCTTTAGGGAAAAGAATTTATTAATTATATGCATCTTCAAATTAACTACATAATGACCAATTGTTTTCCAAAGTAATTGAACACATTTACTCTTCCAATAGCAAAATGTAAGCGCTTCCATTCCCCTGTAGCCTTAACCCTTGAAATTGTCAGACTTATAAATTTTGCCAGTTGTCATGATAAACATGAAATGGTATTCCATCACAATTGTAATATGTTTCCCTAAGTACTAGAGAGGCAGGGCATCTTTTTGTATGTTTATTGTCCACTTTGGTTTCTTCTGTGAATTGACTTTTCATATCCTTTATCTGTATTCTATTGGGTTGTCTCTTTTTATTGACTTTTAGGAGTTTATTGTTCTGAATATCAATACTGTGCCACTTATATGCATTGCAGACATCTTCTCCCAGACTATGGCTGGTATTTTTAAAAGTTTTTCATGATGTATTTTGATATATGGGAGGTTTTAAAAAAAACTTTTAAAGCAGTCGAATTTATCGATCTCTTGTTTTATAGGCTTTACTTTTGTGACTTATTTAAGAAATCCTCCCTATCTAAAATATCATATTCTTCTGTATTTACTCCTAAAATTTCTCAATTTTTGTGTCACACTTGGGTCTTGTCTCATTTAGGACTGATCTTTATATATATATGTAGTTAAGTACATATCCACAGATAACCAGTTAGGGTGAGAAATAAAATAGATAGCATCCAACTCCACAGAGAGTGCAATAAAAAAAAAGGTAACATATAAAAATGTTTAAAAGGCAGAAAATAAAGAAAATGAATGATAAACAGAAAACACAAATATGGTGGTAGAAATATGTCTAAATGCATTAGTTATAGTAAATTAAAATAGGTTAAATTCACCTGTCACAAAATAAGGATTATTAGACTGTATTTTAAAAATTTAATTGCTGTGTTCAAAACATAAGCATGAAAGGCAAAGGTCAAAGGATGTTGCCCCATAAATTATTAAGACAATATTAAAATTAGAATTTATTATAAATAAGACTGTGGAATTGAGGCAGAATTAAGCATGGTAGGCCAAATGCAATAGTATCAAGAAGAAAATAGATTTTTTGTATAAAGTCTACAATTATTCCAACTTTCTAGCAGCAATCTTTCAGCCTCATAAGGGGCCTTACATGCTTTAACCACCTATTGAACACTGTAACCATCTAGTTATTCTTGTTTAGACTAAGTTAAACTTTTTGCAAAAAAAGAAAAACAATGTATTATTATTATTAGCTCATTGACTTTTCCTACATAGTTTATGAATTTTTGCATTCTTTTGTTTATTGTATACCAAGCCTTTCCTATGTTACCTTACCAAAATGCATCCTTTGGTAGTTATTTTAGTGAGAGTCCGTGGAACCCTCTTAATTGGTATATATTCTGGTTTTGACTTCTGTCAGGAATGATAACTTGGCTAAGTATAAATTCTAGTTTGAGGGTAATATTTCTTTGAGCTTTAAGGATTTTTTCTTCATTTAGAATATAATACCATTTATATAAGCTTAAAAGCATGCAATACAGCAATATATTTTGGGGGGAATAAATATATGTAGTGATGTAGCCAAAATGCAGGTTCGGCCACTTGCCACTTAAAGAGTCCAATTATCAAAAATGAAGTCTGGTATAAAGAAAGCGACTTTTAATCACAAAACTATCTTAGGGGAAGAAGCAGGCACTTTTAAAGGAGAATGGCATACAGGGGAGGAAGTTAGCAGGTTGGGGATGTCCATGTGCTAGCTCTGGGACCTACAGGGCAGTTGAGCTGGTGACTGCTGGTGCCTTCATGGGCAGCAGCAGGCTGAAAACTCCCCAGGTGGGAGAGAGTTTTGTAGTGGGACTTTGGGTTATGAATCCACTGTGACCTTTTGGGAAGGAGTTCCTTGTTGGAGCTTCTAGGCACATAGTTAGATGAATTTGCCCAGTAGAGAATGTCTGGTAAAGGGAGGTAAAATATTATATCTGCATTTCTACAGGGCTAAGTAGGAAGTAGGAAACCAGGAGAATGAGAAAAGAGAGAGAAAAAATAATAATAAACTATCTCTTAGAAAAAATGGGGGTATGCCATTACAATCAATTATCCACTGCCAAGTTCCATTTCATTTTGATGGGATTTCATTGTCACCATATTCATTCTGGCTACTCGCTGCTGAAAGAGGGCATAATCATTGGCTGTCGGAATGAAACTGATCTATTTTGAGTTGAAAATATTCATGAGTACAAAGACTTATATATGATATTTGTTGGAGCATTATGATT